AGCGGGGAGGAGTGGCGGATACACCAGAGGGCTGTGCTGCCATTCAGTGAGACCTGGACAGGCTGGAAAGTTGGGCAGAGAGGAATCTGATGACATTCAACAAGGGCAAGTGCAGGGTCCTGCACCTGGGGAGGAACAACCCCATGCACCAGTAAAGGCTTGGGGTGGACCTGCTGGAGAGCAGCTCTGTGGAGAGGTACCTGGGTGTCCTGGTGGATGACAAGTTGCCCATGAGCAAGCAGTGTGCCCTGGCGGCCAAGAAGGCCAATGGCATCCTGGGGTGTATTAAGAAGAGTGTGGCCAGCAGGTCGAGGGAGGGTCTCCTCGTCCTCACCCCTTGCTACTCTGCCCTGGTGAGGCCACGTCTGGAGTTCTGTGTCCAGTTCTGGGCTCGCCAGTTCAAGAAAGATGAGGAGCTACTGGAGAGAGTTCAGCGGAGGGCTACGAGGATGATGAGGGGACAGGAGCATCTGTCCTATGAGGAAAGGCTGAGGGAGCTGGGCTTGTTCGGCCTGAAGAGGGGGGTGCTGTGAGGGGACCTTATAAATGCCTACAAATATCTTAAGGGTGCGTGTCAACAGGATGGGGCCGGACTCTTTTCAGTGGTGCCCACAGCAACAGTACAAGGGGCAATGGGCACAAACTGAAGCACAGGAAGTTCCGTCTGAACATGAGAAAGAACTTCTTCACTCTCAGGGTGACGGAGCACTGGAACAGGTTGCCCAGAGAGGCTGTGGATTCTCCTTCTCTGGAGATATTCAAAACCCGTGTGGACGAGGTCCTGTGTGGACCTGCTGTAGGTGACCCTGCTTTGGCAGGGGGGCTGGACTAGCTGATCCACAGAGGTCCCTTCCAACCCCTAACATTCTGTGAGACGTTGACCTGCCAGCTCAGTTCAAGACCCACTTTTGCCATCTTCGTAGGAGGAATGCATGTTCAACTAGTGGTGGGAACACACTAGTGGAGCTCCAACTATGACATATGAAATCATACTATGACAGATTAATATTAATATACCATATAAATCTAATGGGAAAATAGAATTAATAATAAAAGGTAAGACAGACAATGATGCAAGAGAAAGACCATCATAAGTTGCTGTTATCCACACTCAACAGGATTTGTACTTTTTGGAGAAGCCAAAATACAACAAACATCATGCTCTGCTCTTGCAGGATTAACAAGGTCACTGAATCTTAGGTGCAAGATGGGTGCATAGTACAAGGCATGGAGGCAAGCAGACAATAAAAACTGGAGACACAGGTACTTGGGTCTACCTGGTCTTGAAAAACAAGCCTATGTATACTGAGAATACTTTTCTTCCTAACTTGTTTTGCAAAACAAAACTTCATACTAGGTTTTGTACATAATTACCATTCTAGCACACTGCAAATATAAGAATGTAAATATAGTGGTAACATTTTGGTCTAGGCTGTTTTGCGCCTTCATTTCCTAGTTTAATATAAAAAATAACTTAATTGCCCAATATTTTTTTTAAATGTGTATCAAGACAGACATTTTCATTAAGCTTAGGACTAATTCTAGTACCTGGGAAACATATGTCCACTTTCTTTCATTTCATTACAGGGGAAGTTATACTTCACATCAGGTTTATTTATCCATGTTTGGATGTTGACAACCTCTTTTCGATCATCATCTGACATTGAGGAGCTATCAATTTCATCTATTTTGAAAGGAGAGTGCAAAAAATAAATAAAAAAATATTTTCACACATCTGACAACTTTTCAACTCACTTAAACCCATAGTAGCTACACTGGTTCAAATCAAAGTCCACCTAGCCATAAACAATTGTTTAGAGGGAAGAAACAAAAAGGCATGCATATCTGATATTTATGTTTTAATTCTCTCTCAGCAGACAACTATTTTCAGCTCAGAGGATTTATTAGGCTGGTCTGATTTGTTCACTCCGTAAAGTTTAATAGAGCTCTTTTACATGGACTTGTCCAGACTTTCCTTGAAGCCATGTAAACTTCTTGCATCTACAACACCAATATCTTTTGGCAAGGAGTACCAAAAACATGTCAGCTACATTCCAGGAAAGCCTCTCATGGCTTCTAGCTTCTTGCACAAGAAGAAATAAACATCTCCTGATCCCTTTCCAGGCTAAGCATTCTTTTTGTGGGCCACTTTTCCTCCCTTCAATTGCCTATTTCACATGAAAAAAGTTTTAATATTCAGTTAAGCCTATGATGAAAACCACTTCACATCTTTCCTCACTCTTCTTATCCTTCTCTGAACCCTTCTCCTGTTCAAACATACTGTTTCTGATGTAAAGAATCGACACACAGTATTCCATGTGTGGGTGAACCACAGGTTTATACAGTCACATAATGACCTCAGTTTTATTCTCTCTTCCCTTCCTTATAACTCCTAGCATTTGATTTGCTTTTCTGACTGCTAATGAGCACTTACTTACTATACACCTACTGCTCCTGGACACAGTCAAATCACTCTACCATTTTGAATCTGAAACCAGAACTGTCTTTCTCACCTCACGCTTCTTCATACTTAATTTCATGTGCCATTTTATTGCTCAGTCACTCAGACTAGCAAAAGACTCTCTCAATTCCTCAGTCTGTCCTTAGTACCTTGAATAATCTTGGATCATTAGCAAAAATTTTTGTCTTTGGGTTCACCTCCTTTTCTTAGGACATTTAAGAAATACTCAAACCCAGAATTTTCAGCACAGACCTCCGTGAAACACCCGAAACTCCTGCAACGCTATCATTTAGTTGCAAAATAACTGGTTTTATGTCTAAATACAGTGATTATGTCTACATATTAATTTTGGTGCTACATTAGAAGAATTTAAGCCATGTTGTTATCTAAAATAATGAACTACATTAAATCCATAAAAATTACTCCCAGATTTACTAACTTCAAAGGACATCTCTAAAGTGTCTTCATCAAAGTCAGTTTTCTACACTTTGTTGAACTACTTATTTCAAAGCAATTCAGAATTATATGGTTGAGGATGGAAGGGACCTCTGGAGGTCATCTGATCCACCTCTCCTACTCAAGCAGGGCCACCTAGAGGAGGCTGCAATTACTATAGCTGATTGCAATTACTTACTACAGAAAACCCACTAAAATTAAAAAAAAAAAAATTATACAGAAACAGGTTCACTTTTTGCATTCTTCTGTACTGAAATAACATATAATTCACTTCATATGTGTTGGCTTTGCTTATTCAAATCATTGCAGCGATTCTGCTTACTTACTAAGTCTAATAGTGCTTTTAAAAGCAAATGTAAATAGAAATTAACGAACAACCATTACTGAAAACATGTTCTAGATAATTTGTCTTTGAGGACCTGATTTTCTGAAACCACACAGACTTTGCCAAGCACTATTATGGATGCTCAAAGAACTGTGCAAACTTAATTTCATGGCATTTGGAGAAATATCTTGTTAGTGTTAAAGCTTCCGACTGATAGTTTAATTTTGCTCCTTCCTAATTTTTATAGCACAGAAACAATGAGCCTATGAATCTCTTTTATTAAGCTTCCCAAATTATTTCTTTTGCAGGTGAAAGATTCTTAGTCTAGTTATTTGTTTCTCACATGGAAGCTGAGTATGCCTTTTGGTCACAGAACAGTTGCTTGTGAGATGATGATGACTGGGAGTGAGCTAACACGACCAGAACAAAACCAGTCTGCACCATTCTAACATTAGCACTGGTCTCAAAAAGACCCCCAAACTTATTGAAAACTGTGGTGTTCCAGTTTTGCCCGTAATTTTTCAACTAGATAAAAAAATTAAATAAAAATTGTACTTTTTTTCTACAGCATTCTGCATGCCTATCAAGAGATAAATCTGTTAATAGATTCAATGCTAAAAAGCAAAGTCCAAAACACTGGAGAGGTGTGCACACATTAGCCATCTTAAGTCTACTTCGAACTGTATTTTCAGAAGTTCAGATTTTTACACTGCCAATACCAGAGATTCAACCTGAGATCCATCAGCGAAACTAGGTCCTTTAAATTTTGCTTAGTGTCTTGAGTAATAGAGGTACAATTGCAGGTTTGCATGTACAAGACCAGTGTAGAAAAACAGATCTTTACTACAGAAATTACAAGTGAACATGACCAATCCACTAAACCCATCTATTTCCATTTCCTCCTGCTGGCTGTTTGGTGCCTACTACAAATTTTTTTTTTATTTAGTCTGCTACTGTGTATTTGAAGAGGGTGTTTTGCTCTTGGTTGCTCCTAGGCACCACCATAACATACATGATCAATGATAATAGTTGGGAAAATGTCGTGTTGTAAGACAAAGATATAAAACAGACTCTTATGATTTAGTTAAACTTAGTGTTTTTGTCTAAATAATCTCTAATCTTGGTAAGAGGAAAATCTTCTACTGTACCAGTATCGTATTCTTCTTCATCTCCGATGCTGAACACTGGTTTCACACCACGGTAGGGTTTTCCTACTCTGTCACTGCTGCTGACATGTCTGTTGACAATGAAAGGGGCAGGAGAGGACATGTGATAGAAGAAAAGTAACTTTCAAACTGATTGTATGACTTCTACAATAACATATTAGCAAAATGTAAACACAACTGTGCAACTGAGAAGGACAAGAGAATTTCATGAAGCTGCCTGCAAGGTAGCTGTGACTGACCCATCAAGCAATTTGGTTAGTGAGAGCATGTATTTCAGTTACTTGGCAAGGCTATCTGTTGTTAACATATAAAGTCAATAGAACTACTTCTTCGTTTTAAAAAGTACTTCTGGTCACCTTCTCAAATGACAAAATACATTAGAGAACTGAAAACTGACACCATGCTATGAAGCTTCTAGCATTAAACTGAAATGTTTCTGGACAGTCAGGGCAGCTTTACAAGGATGCCAAATTGGGATGGAGGAAAAAATTCAGACTATTAACCAACATGTCTGGAAGCTGATTTTTCCAGTTATTTCTTGAAAAGATAACAAAATACCTTAAGCACTTCAAGGTGGGATTATTATAAACCATCCACTATAGTGCGAACTCTGACTTCTCGTCCATTGCTTTCTCCAGCGTGAGCCAAATCCTGAAATCTCTGGCCAAGCAATTCCTACTGCTAAAATCCCAGCATCACTGGGATTTCTGCATAGATATTGACCTCAAAAATCAGATTTAAATCTATTTCCACAGATCAGTAAATGACACAAACACAACTGAGTCTTCATGTTTGACAGTAACACTTGGAAATCCTGAGATATTTTCAAGCTCCAGCTCAGAGTGCTGTGATTACATAGTCACTGCTGTCATGTTAAAAGGTCTGGCCCTCAACTGCTGAGAATACATGAAAAATATGAAAAAACCTAAAGGTTCAGAAAGCCACAAAATAGGTAAGTGCTGAAAAAAATAAACAGTTCATTATTTTAACCTTTAGAACTGGCAACATGTAGTAGTTTATAAAAAGAAAAGAAAACCAAAACACGCCTGTCCCTTTCCCCCGTTTCAGTTTCTATAGCCTTCCTCCCTGTCATACGTATTCATGTTTCCTATAAACTATAAGCCCTGGTTCCTCTTTTAAGGACATTCACAAACTCCAGTTTACACGCTACTGCAGAACTGTAGAACCAAGCTGGAGAGGTAACCTCTTCATAATATAAAAATGAATTCTAGCGCTTATGTGCACCTGAAAGCATATTTGCACGTTATAAAAGAAACCTACATTTTCTATGGCTAAAATTTAATAGTGTAGCCAAAATAATGAAATGTTTAATAGGAAAAATAACAGAAATACATTCTACAATGAAACAAAAACCAAACATACAAAAACATGCTCATTAGTGTTTAACACAATAAGCATCAATGACACTGACAATTCAAGAGGGTGGTGCTTCTATATAGAGGCTTTTGTAAATATGCTTTAGTAATACATCACCAATCAAGTAGGAAGCACATTTAAATAGCGTCAAATTGAAATACACAGAGAGGACTTAAGCGAAGATCTCATTGGTGTTTATAGAGCAAAAGTTAGTCAAGACAACATAAAGTAAAAAGCTACTGTATAAAAACTTGGTAACAACTTAAACTACAAATGGATTTCCTTTAATCTGTTTGCCCTGAAGGACAACATTACATTGTTTCAAATTGAATGCAATTCCCTTTAGTACCAAACCTGTGAGATGTAATATACTGGTGATAAACACAAAGTGGATCTAATTGAACGGATGGGAAAAGAATGCCGTTCCAGGTTTTTAAGCACTGCAGTTTTAAGAGAATAGTCTAGTGATACACAGTGTGAGCAAATTCATTATTGCATCTTCTCAATGAAAGAAGATAAGCAATCTGAATAAAAGACGCGAGTAAAATAGCCGAAATACAATACAGATTCAAGCGTCTTTCAGTTCTTGAACACAAGTCACCAAGCGTTTTAAGTTGGAATTCTTAACGCTTTCTTACCATATTCCAGAACCTGCTCAGCAAAATGTGGGGAGAAATCTCCATAATCTTTAGGATTTATAAATTAACAAAATATATGATGTGCTATTGGGATATTCCCACTTTTTTTTTTTTTTTTTAAAGAAAGAATACTGGTTAACATTACTATTGGTTTTGCTCACACAACACCATTCTGTAATGCTTATGGGTAAATCCTATCTCAAATTATGTGCAAATTAGTTGAGAGAAGAATTGGTCCAAAATCCTTGAAACCCCCAACAGCATTTTAAATCTTCATTAATTCTTCCAGAACCAATCTTCATGCTTTTCAGTCTGTGCGGGTCAAAAGCTACAACACACAGTTCCTAAAGTATAACCAACGTTCCAAAGCGATTAAGCATGAGCTGTCCTTCATTTATCACAAGTAATTTTATATAACCTCAATTCACAATTTTTATTTCTGAAATAATTATAAGGCAATAAATCTGAGACAAATGTGAAGCGACTCCACATCTGTGTGAAATGCAGTTGTTATGTGAACAAGATGAGGGAGAGTTGCAAGGCCTGTCTACTTACTAACTCAGTATTTTTCTTTTCCCACTAATGGATGAGAAGTATAAAAATTCCAGATTTCCAGACAGAATTTCTGTGTGGGTTCTGTGTTATATCTAAGCTCTGATGATGCTTTTATAACAAGTCTTTTTCTAGTTGTAGTCGCTCTTGTTAAAACCTTAAGCCATAACCTGTTCAAGTAATTGCTCCTGGTGTCTTCACTAGTACAAGTCACTAATAAAATATTTATAGATAAAAAAAAAAAAAAAAAAAAAAAAAAAAATCCATAAAAAGCAATAGTAAGGAAGAGAACAGAAATAACAAAGCAGAAACTAAGAGAAGAAAGCACTGCCAACACATTGTGTTTCTTCCTCTAGTCCCCCGACTAGTACTTGTAAAAACCAATAGCTTTAATATAGTCAAATCCCCCAAATTAATATAAAAACATGTGAGCAATTTTGTCAGTGTAACCAATGCTTACAAAAAGTTGAGATGCCATGCTAAATACAACAAAGGTGGTTTTAGTCAGACTGCTTTATTATCAAGCTTACCGCTCCAGGCTTGCTCTGTCTGGCCAAGGAATATTGAAAGGTATTCTATAGTACAGTGGGGCAGAGGACAGAACAAAAGAATTAAAAAAAAAAAGTTTAAAAGAAAAAGCTAGATAAATAATTGAAATGCTCTATAATGGCAATGTGTCTTCTTCAAGGAGAATGCTTATAAATAAAAGGAATGCTTCAAGACAGGTAGCTATGAGGTAGAGAAATATTTGTAAAAATTCTACTAAAAGATGCATTTTTAATGCTATGTATGGCTTACATATAAGCCTTACTTGACTTCTTCACACAACAAAAGCTACTACACCAAGTACTATTTAAGAATTTTTTGCCTCTGATTGTGAAATAATAATTAAAAATAATCCTTTTCCAGCATAAAAAGAAGCAACAATATGTACCTTTTAATTAGGTGCAAGACTACTGAAAACTACTGCTCATTTGGCACATACTTTAAACCCTGCTATCAAACAAACACTGGCTCTGTAAGATTCTTGAATACCAATGTCTTAGCAACATACAACTCCAAAGGCTGCATTTTCAAGAACTCTAAAACAGGCTATTCAATTAAAGCTGTGACAGCTGAAAGCTGTTATTCTTTCATCTGTCTAAGATAAGTATTTGGAATACGACTTCCGACATGTTTGCACATTCTCATTCCCAGCTCTACTTGAAGATACAAAAAAGGAACAAGACTGGATTCTGGGTTTGAAAAGCAGCTTTACATCAGGACTTGGAAAAAACCAAAATCTTCAAAAAAAGTCAACCTCAACTTGGCAAGATGGGGCAGTAAAAGAACCAAACCAGAACAAAACCAACCAGAAAAAAACAAAACAAAAACAAAACAAAAAAAATCCAGAATCCTCTGTCATTCACCCATTCTATTAGACTCAGAATAGAGAGGAAGTGAAATACAAGTGAAATAATTCTTGACTTCTAGACTGCATACAGAACTGACACATTACAAGAAGTCAAACTAACCATGCAGTGACAAATTCTAGATAAACATTCGAGAGAAAAGGCTGCTCACATTGGCCTTGCAACACTAAAGCAGCACAGTAGGCTTACTGTGTCATTATAAAATTGTGAAGAGAGTAGGGGTAGGAAATCTAAAAGCTGAAACTGGAAGACAATGTTTTTACCCAATCAGTACACCCTTCACACATAAAAAATAACCACCTGAAATGGGAAGTCATTCCTTACCGCTAATTCACAGTGAGATATAAATGACACACCTGTCCACTGGAGTAGATGTATTTTCAATGAAACTAATCACTTTTTCTTTCACATTCACAGATTTAGTCTTCAAAGCAACCGTCATTTTATTCACCAGGGACTTTACTCCTTTTCCATCACTCGAACCATTCGGAGAATCACCCTGTAAAAGTAACTCCTCTCAGGATTAATCACATAAAAATAATATCTGGTTTGTTAAGAAAGGAAACAGACTACAAAACAGCAAGCTACTTTTTGGTACTCAGTAGAACATCAATTACAGCATTAACTATTCTTTTAGAGTTCTATCACATGACAGCAACGATGTGTGTAAAGATGATCCAATAAAGCAAGTTTAACAGACCTTGGTACTGACCACTCTGCTACGAAAATCTGGAGAGGAAGTTCTATTAATGATAAACTGCATCCAAATTAAAACCAAATTCTACATACAACATATCAGCAGTAGAAAAGAGACAATTTTGAGCCTTCCCATGAAACTGTATGCTAGTTTTATAGTAATTTATTCCCAGAGTGAAGAAGAGCCAGAAAAAGAATTGTCCATTACATATATTCTGCTGGAGAATGACTACAAGTTCTCCTCTACAAGCTCTTCCTCTCAAGAGGATAAAAATGTTTCAGTTTCCTCTACCAACACAGTGAATATAGTTTAAAATTCAACACATAACTGAAAAAAATCGTGACTTGGAGTAACACATTGTACAGAACAGAATGAGAAATATGAAGAAAAAATTCAGTACACCTGGGGCTCCCGTCCCATTATACCACTTGAGCTTAAAATTCACTTACATCAACAGAGGAGTTTATGCTACTTCTTGAGCCTGAGGTACTAGCAATCCAGTGGCCATATCCATTTTCTGGTCCTTCCACATTGATATCTGCTAAGTGCTGCTGGAGGGCTATTAAAAAGGCCATTACAAAATGTTCAGAACTACACTGGAATTAGTCTGTTGATGAAAATACTGTACATCGAAGACTAATCAGTAACAATTTTTGCTCCACATGATTTAACAAAACAGATAAATTCAGATACCACTATAATCATCCCAGGCTTTTCTTTCAGTAGTACAAAGGCATTAGGATAATCTTTATGGCAGCAAAGGAAACAGTTAAAATACAGCAGCAACTAAAAGTCAGTCACTGCTTTGATCCTAAAGATAGCCGTTATGACACTGCACATATCGACTAGTGCCTCTATATTCAGATTGTAGCACAGATGTCTCCACTGTTGTAAAGCCTGATTGATTCCAGCAACATCAACTGCAGAATTATGAGCTGATGATTTAAGAAAACACAACGATTAACAGTAATTATGAAATAGCATCTTCATACGGATCTGCAATCTATAGAGGCTAAATATCAAGAATGATAAGCTAGAAGAGGGAATTTCCCCACTTCCTGTATTAATTTTCCACCATTCAGGAATGTAGGTAAGCCATAACAGTTCACAACAAATGTGCAAGTGCACAGTGCTGACTTACACAAAACAAAAACCTGACCAATGAGAACTACCTGCTATTCATTTAGCTGATTTCTAGCCAAAGCCTAATAACATCTTAACTCTGTTGATATTTTTAAGTTTTCTCAAGCAAAGCTCATTATTAAGAAGCTTACCCATAAATCCTCCTTTGGCAATGCTCACATACTCCTTATTTTTCTGCAACAGAAAAGACATTTTTGGTTGAAGCAAAAATCTGTGGCATGAGTTTTGCAAGCATGGTGATGAAGCATGGGTTAATTTAATAAAAACTGTAAACTTGACCAATGCGAAAAACGGTTAATATTTTAAGGGGAAAATATTTTGCTATTTAGTATCAACGACATGTGCAGACACACTTTATTTCCGCTATTAAAATCAACAGCAATTTAGTTGTACCTGTAAGAAGTGTGCTAGTACCATATTCATATACATATCTTCTTCTTCCCTGCCACTTCCCATGAAGCAGAGATGTTCCCCACCAGCTATGGAGCCAGACTCAATAGACTGTTTTTGTGCTTCTAATAGGGATTTTACAGACTGTGCAAATTCTGATGGGTTTTGAAGCATCTGTGGAATGAACAAATAAAAACTGCTGTTTGACACCAACATACTGTAAGACAACTTCTGAAAAGATAACAAACTTTGAAAATAATTTGCTGAGCACAAAGAAGGTAACATCAGCACTGTACAAGACATGCACACACACAAAAGACAGCCTGGCACAGACCTCACGTTATGTAAGGAACATTGAGAATGGTCCTTTTCTTCCTCACTCCATCTTGCTCTCTCCAGGAAAGAAATGCAACTAACATTTGTTAGCTTATTTTTGCAGACACCAAATCACAGTGGAAAAAGTCTTTGCAACTCCCACGTTGCATTAAGTTGGCAATATGGCAGAGGAATTGATTTCCATATTTACATATGCCCGAGCACAACACATTCAAACTTCGCAGTTTTGAAACCCTTTAAAATACCCAGAAGTGCCAGTAAGGTCCTCCTCTTGTAGTCTCCCTGCTAAGCTTTCTCTCATTTACTTACGGAGATTTGGAAAAAAACATTATAATCAGGAGTACAAGGAGATACCTGGGATTCTTAATACTCTAAGAAAGTTAAGGCTGTGGTCTCCTGAAGGTCTATTATGCACACAAAAGCAATGAGCTGCTATATGAAAGAAATGGAGAAACAAAGACTTTCTAAATACAGCTGAAATTTTAACCTGCTGTTGTGGGGAATAAGGAAATATTGACCTGTAACTGGGTTTGGGATTGGGGGGCCTTTATACTGGATTAAATGATGAAGTACGAAGTAACAAGTACACAACCTAGCCATCAGTATGGCAACTTGAATTTTAACTGAGTTTTTCCTAGAGCAAAATGCTGCTGCTTTATTACATAGGTCCTAAATCTCACTACTTCCTCTATTTAAGACTACCTATAAATAAGATGGATTCCAAAGTGCTTTCCCCATTGCCTCCTCTTAGAAGTAAATTGTGTGTACTTTGCACATACAAGTGTATAAAAGGCCCTGAAGTTCCATTAACGGCTTTTTGCTTCAAAGATTATTCCCTACAATGTTTTCCTGACATTAAACTTCTAAAACCAGAGATGAAACTGGTGACATTTATCCAGCATGGTTCATGAAGGATCCTAATCACACCAACTGACACACCCTGCAGAATTCCCATATGTAATTTAAATACATGTGAACTAATCACATTCAATTTAAGAATTGTCTTCCTGAACCTTTTTCATATATTACTAGGTTTTAAAAATATCTAATAATTTATAATGCTTATTTCTACTTTATCGAATATGATGTTCATTTAAGACTAGCAGAAGGACACCCACATACCATGGGGAAAGTTTTTTCCTAAATAATTTTCAATCTGGGTTAAAACCCAGAACACTGTATCAGAATCACTCAGGCTGGAAAAGACCCTTAAGATCATCAAGTCCAACTGTAAACCTAACACTGACAATTCTCCACCACTAAGCTATGTCCCTAAGCACCACATCTACACATCTTTTAAATACCTCCAGGGATGGTGACTCCACCACTTCCCTGGGCAGACTGTTCCAGTGCTTGACAACTCTTTCAGTGAAGAAATGTTTCCTAATATCCAATCTAAACCCCCTCTGGCGCAACTTGAGGCTGTTTTCTCTCATCCTAGCACTTGCTACTCAGAAGAAGGGACCGACATCCATCTTGCTCCAACCTCCTTTCAGGTAGTTATATAGAGCAACAAGGTCCCCCCTCAGCCTCCTTTTTTCCTCCAATATAATTATACTTGTGCAAATAATACTGAATAAAACTTAATTTTAATTAAAGAGATAACAGATGTAAGACTGAGTTGCTTAACTAAGAAAGGTAAAAAAAGCCTTTTATGGGGTATATACATAGCAATCAATCTATGCAACACCCATAGAACGCTTGAAGTATAATAGTAGAGGGTTAATCTAGAAGTGAAGAACAGACGGTAAGCCAGCTGAAGCATAAGAGATTTGGGGAAAAAAAGACAGAGGAAAATATAACTGAACATTCAGTTAGGAATTCATGACCAGATGGAAACTACAGCAAAATCTTTAATGAAGTAATTAGTCTGTAGCACACCTCAGTCGCAAAATTAGTCCACTTCCTCTCTCATATTGTACAACAAAAATTTTAAAGGAGCAACCAGATCCTTTTCAAGACACATGCTCCTTACAAGCAGGCTGTAGTAAGACTGGCTGGGGGAAAAAAAAAAAAAAAAAAAACTTGTTAAAATTAATGACACCTTTCATTAGAAAATATGATGCTAAAACAAGATTTCTCCTCCAAGCAATATCTAGTCTTTAGCCTGTATGGGTTTCCAGTTCTAAGCAAAGAACAGGAAGTCTGGAGTCCCAAATTCTAATGTCATTAAGGACTAAACTTCTCAGTAAAATGATGGTTCCACCAATCTCCTTTAGGGAAGCCAACTTTTGAAACCTCAACACATAGCTAGATGCTGCAGTCCACAAACTAGAGTCTAAACAAAGGATAGTTTATTTTTCAAGACAAACATTTCTCTCTCCTTCTATTAAACTTTGGATTCAAAAAAATCAGTAAAGAAACAAGAAGTATACGAACCAGATCAGAGTCTAAATGAAATGCTGTTGATAAATGTCCAGCATTGTATTGCTCCGCAGGACGACAATCCACTACGAAGAACCTTACTCCTTCCTGAAAGAGGAAGATTTTGCCCATTACAAAATTTTAAAATTGTGTAATTATTGATGGGAAAGTACATAATTGAATTATATTTTAATACTAATTCCAATACTACAGTAACCCTTCAAATGGGCTAACAGCTATCAGAAAATGTTATTTCGTTTGATTAATCTGAACCTCTACAGTTACCAGACCACCAGCAGTATTCTAACAGTGATTTTCCATTAATATATCAGTTGGTGCATCAGAAAGGATCACCCAAGTGCAATACACACAGTGCAACTGTTTCCCCTCTGCTGAGAAGAATTATAGTGAGTATGAGGGCACAAATCCACAAGACATCAGCAGGGACAACTCTGAAGTCCCAATCCAACAGTCCATTACTACTCTGCACAGCACATAAGGACAGTTTTATATCCCACCAACTTAAACAGGATATAAAGAAATGCTTAACTTTAATTGGACTAGGAAAAATTTTTTTTTTACAAAATTATGCATGATGACACTGAGGCCGGGAAACTGCCACAAAAAACCAGTAGTCAATAAGAAACACTGTCATCTAGCTACACCATTACCCTTATATTGGTCTTAAATATGTTAAGTGAAGTCCCTTCATCTAAGTGCATCTGCAATTACTACAGAAATAGCTTGAATCAATTTTTTTTTTTTGTTTAAACCTTTCATTGACAAAGGACAGATATTTCATAATGGCATTCTTCTCAAAAGTACAGACTCATGGTTTTTCATTTTTACTCTACAATAGCTCCATTTTGAAAGGAATTCAACTTAGTGAGATATTACCTTAAACTCCCACTCCTCTGATTCAAATCAGCTATATTCAGCTCCCCTGTGCTGTAGCTGTAGTTGCTGCAGCACAAATGCATTGCACTCAGCAGATCATTTACAAGTGAGACTTCAAGACAAGACTACTTTTTCCTGAAATAGCAAATATTCATCTGTGTTGATAACACTTATTATTATCAAACTTATTATCAAAATATTCGTCATACACAAAGTAGTAAGTGATCCTTTCCCTTTTCTACAAAGTTGGGGAAAAAAAATAAAGAGTAACTCAATACACTGACTCCTTGTTGCTGATTTGCTTGAAGAATCTCAGACACAGATACTGCTAGACAGAGAGCCTGGCTCAAGTCTGTGTCATCATCTTTGAGGCCCAGCAAGCTGCTGCCAAAAAGACTGTGGTTGTCCTAATAAGGCAAGAGGAAATAAAAAAGTTAACCAAAGCCACTGTCTTTAGATGTGAAGGCTTCAAGTAAAACTATATCCACCATGTCACAAACATTAAGTCTGATATACACGTATCTTGTCCAAATTTTTGATCAACTGAAATTCTTCCTGGAAATCATGGCAAGGCCTGAACTTCCATTACAAACACGCTTGTTCACCACCATGCCAACATGATGAAATACCTCTGGTTTTTGTTTTCTCGTTGTCTGGGGGCTTTTTCCTCCCACCAAAAAATCTCACACACCTACCTACACACATCAGAGAAAGTACATACAAGCCAGAGTCAATGACTACCAAATACTTTTATTTCATGAATTCAGTGAAGTCATATAGCTTATGTAAGGAAGAACTGCAGGCGAGGACAGCTTTATCTCTAGTAAGTGACTTTTTCCTGTTTGCTGTTGCAAGTACAGCCAGGACTGCTGTGCAGTCCACTACAACACAATTGTGTTAGTATGGCATTTTTGCCTCATCAGTTCTTACAAGAATCTGGTTTTCAAAACAAGGTCATCAGTCAAGAAATGAGAATATTGCAGAGCAACTTCTAACATGTTTAACACTTAGCCTTCTTATTTTTCAAAGATCCTAACAGTAAATACCACCAGAGTAACACAAAAAATTGTTTAAAAAAACATCACAATGAAATATTCGACATTACTGTCAGCACAAACTTAAACAGTCACCAGAAACAAGAGAATTTCAAAATTACTTTGTTGTTACCTTTCTGAAAGAAGCTGGAGTTTTGCTACAGTAATACTGTCCCAAAGAGAAGAGATCCTCTATATCCTCTAAATCGAGATTGGCTGGTGAAGTTTCTAAGAATTCTGAAATATACAAACAACATCAGTGCACCATTATTTCAGACATAGAAAGAAAGCACCATACATCTTTTCACATCATAAAACAGCTTATTTTTAATAAGGCATAACACAAATGAGCTTACTGATTAAACATGAATGTCGATTCACTCTCCAGGTGGAAAGAGAAGATACAGGAAACACTCCTTATCCATAGGACACATTTGCTATTTGCTAGAAGTTCAAACCTTCTATGCAAATTATTTTTTACCATGCTCTTACTTCCGTATAGTTTTAGCTTTCAGTTACAATACTAAGTCAGCGCCCTTTCTGAAGAGGGCTGATCAAGAGAATCCTCTAAAACACAGTACTTCACCAGTACATCCAGCATGGTACAAGGGTGTAACTCTGCAGTATATGGCAAAGACACCAAATTCCAAGAACCCTAATTTTTAACTCCTAGGAGATCATTAATTATACCGTATTATGCCACGAAAAAGCAGGTGAAACAGGTTCACAACAAATTTAGTGTAATTTCTATAAAAACAGAAGAGTGTCAGACAAGAACAACGATTTAGGCTCAAATCAAGTGCATGCAAACATAATAATCTGGGAAATGCAACAAGTGCAGCAGATTTAAAGGAGGATTCGAAAGCTGCTGCTTTGGACTGAGAAACATGGTGATCATTTCAAGTACTTCAAACTGAAGCATAAAACTAGGTGTAGGAGTGCTAAAAGGAAACACAAGAAAAGAATGTTAAGGACAGGACAAACATGATGCAGCAAAAGAATAGTAAGCAGTGAATTAGTGGGTCAGGGGATTCATTAATGAGAAAAATCACAGGGAAATAAGTAATTCAGCTACTTAGTAATTAAAAATAATAATCAGTTGGGATTACACTATATGGTAAATATTTCACTAGTAGTTATATAAGGTAAGTACTTACTTATCATTTCTTCTTTATCTGATTCTTGTGCTAAGATAACGTCTCTGAAAACAGTAAAGTCACAGGCACAGATTAATTCAGTAAAACAAAAATGAAACAAAAGTGAATTAAAACTGTGTCAGCAAAGAATGACCCAAAGAATTAATTATACACTTACTTTGCATTGACAAGGATGATTAACATTAAGAAATAAATAAAGAATGGATCTGCTTGTTGTAGATATCCATCCCATATTGCCTGAGTGACTTCAGCTGAACAGTAATATGAGAAGAGGCTTCCAAGCTAAAAATTTGGAAAATAATGTGAGAAAAAGCAATAACCAGGATCAATCTTATCAGGATAAGATTTTTAACAGAGATACAAGATATCTAGAAGAAAATAAAAACAAAAAAATTATGTTACAGCATACATTTGCACCGTGTACTGAAGATGGTTCTATCCCCAAAACCAATTTTTATGGAAACAGTACAGAAATGCTACAGATTATCTGTGAATAGATATGCCCAGTATGAAGGCAAACTCAGCCGTACATTGCCAGCCTTGTAAATTCAACCAAAGATAATATAATCAGGCTGAAATACTGTTTAGCTCATAGCCACTGCTAAATACCAATTATACCAACAAGACAACAATAAGAGAATAGATTTACTCAACTACCTTAGCAAATAGGACTTTGAAAGGATCCTGTAAACAACAATCTTATTTTTCACAGCAGAACCATGCTAATTGAACACGGCTGCACATTAGTTTGACTTACTTAGCATCGCATTATGGTGGTTTATGGCTGAGTAATTAAACATTTGCAAGCAACAGAAAATTTTCATTACCATTTAACAAATTGTTTGCCTGTTCCCACGCTCCCATTTAAAATCATTTAAAATCTTCTCCAATATGCAAAGTTCAAAGCAGATAAAAGAAAAGGTAGAAACTTCTTTTCATACATGTCAGATAATATTTGCAATCATACCTAACTCCAATGCATACCAGCTGGCTTCACTGGGGTCTTATTGAACTTGCTAATGCATACAAATTCTGTATTAACAGAGCTACAGCTTTCAAAAGCTCAGTATCTATTTCTAAACACTATCATGCAATATTTCAATACTTCCTAGTATACTTTTATAACATAAGGTAAGAAGATCTATCCAATTCTGAGTCAAATGCAACTGAAGACAAAATGTCCTCAAACGAGGCAATGACAGGCCTCTCAATGTTGCTTATGTATGTCTACACATTAGAAATACATCTATACAGTTTTTTGACAGATGAAACAAGGAATTTTAATGTAATCTCATAATATAAAATGAAGTGTAAGATTTTTTCCTAAGATTGTACACCAGAAAGCATGATATTAAGGACTGGCAGCTACACTAGCTCATTTCCTTACCTCCTTTCAAAGGGAAGATTTTTTTTCTAATGAATCATTATACTTTTAATAAAGAACTTCAAAGAAGTTTGTATTTACTAAGGCAAATTGTATAAAAAAACAGTGAGATTCAGTAGTGAAAAGAGACCCCATTCCTCATTTGAAGGCTGATGATTAGCAAAACGCTGATTTTGAGAACATGGCAATTCTTCCTGGACACATGTTAATACTACAGTTTGTAGCAGCCTAAAAAAAAAATCATCTTAAAACCCCAAACAAATACAGACCTCGCAGTTTAATAATTAATTTCAGTCTTATTTAAGTGAAAGTAATGGAGTTACAAAAAGTTTTACAAAGCCAATGGGTATCAAAGAAGAGTCTACAAGAGTTTATGGGTCATAAAGCCTTCTTTATTAATTTACAGACTGCCTCTGCAAGCACTGTATCATGATTTTGTATTGCATATACTAAGTAGCATTGAAACATGAGAATTTTGCTGCTTTATGTGGTAGTCCTGCTACCCAAACTTTATGATGACTGAGATAAGCGCCTTTATAACTACCCTACTCCAAGCAGTTTTGAAGTTAAGGTGAGGAGGAAATGACCAATTTTTGAAGAGATGCAAAATACATGTGCCTAAATTCTAAAAGACATAGCACCATATGAGGCAGTCAAATATATCCATAAGCATGGAGCTGTTTTTTTAAATGATTAGTAATTTGACTTTAAAAGACCCATTAGGCTGATGTTTATCCATATCTACAATCATACAGCTGCCCACTACAAAAACTAACATCACAGCTTCTTACTTTTCGAGTATGTCAGTTGCTCTCATTTTTACTTATTCCAAGCACTTCCTAACACCAGTGGCTCAATTAACATCCAGTGCAATAAAAATGAGAGGTTAACAAAATCTCATACCTTATGTTAAACAACTGAAGACAAAAAGCCCACACTATATTAAAACATGTAATTTATTTCAAGATATGCAGTTTTAATCTCTTGTGCTACTCTTCCACAAACTAGCAATACGTACTTCAATTTTAACAGAAATTTATTTTTCATTATGTTTCCCTACTTTCACTTTATTACCCAGTTGAGTGCATATGAGTCTGGAGTCATCTTCTTTGTATCAAGAAAGGAGCAGAGTTCAGGCTCATGGTACTGAAGAAGTAGTCTAAACAGATGAAATGGTCTTCCTTTCATAAAACAATCCCTAAAAAGTAGCAGTGAAATACTCATGAACTCTCTTGTAATATTTCAGTTGTCAGACTTACAATAGCAACTCTTTATTAATTGTGATTACATAATTTTCTATATTGTTCTTTTAATTCACAGGGACTGATCATGAACTCAATGTGCCTCAAGAGTTTAAAAAAAACCCAAATCAACAAAAACACTCACAAACACTGAAAACCCCACTATATTAATAAAGCAGGAGAAAGAACAAAATACTGCCAATGCGTGATAGAGACTATACAATACAGAAGTATTTAAAATAGGTTTAAATATCAAAGTAAGGCTAGCATGGTATCAGTGTTCTTAACTAAAAAACAGAATCAAAAAAATATAAATCATTCTAATATGGCAGCCAAAGAAAATGTAAATGATGCTTATTTCATACATTAATAACAATTACATGTCAATTCATCAAGCAAGAAATAAAAGAGTATATTTAAAATGAAGACACATTTGTTTAAAGACATTAGGAACAAATCTCAAATGTTCAAAAACTTAAATATAGTAATGTGAAACTTGACACACAGATCTCCAAACACAATTATCAGCCTAATTTTCTTAAATAAAGGTATGTCTATGGTGGTGAAATGGAAACATTCACAGCCAATTATATGTGGGGATTCTTTTTCAAAATTACCACAAGCCCTCTGACTTTCCATTAAGTTAACAGGACAAAAAGTGCGAGTAGCAGAAAAATATTCTATTAATGAATTTATCATAAGAATCTAGACTTGAAAATTACTTTCTGTTTGAATGGTTAGTATGGTCATTATTCCAGTCAGTCAGACATTCCTTACCACATTTTAACATTAAGAATGGACATATAGCCAAAAATAAAAAGAATCTTTCCACATTTCTACTGACAGTGGAACAACCTTGTTTAGACGAGGGGTAATGGTTTTAAACTAAAACAGGGTAGGTTTAGGCTGGATATAAGGAAGAAATTCTTTACAAGGAGCGTGCTGAAACACTGGAACGGGTTGCCCAGAGAGGTAGTGGAGGCCCCATCCCTGGAAACATTCAAGACCAGGTTGGACAGGGCTCTGAGCAACCTGATATAGTTAGTGGTGTCCCTGGTCGCTGCAGGGGGGTTGGACTAGATGACCTCTAGGGGTCCCTTCCGACCCAAAACTTTCTATGATTCTATGATTTTTCCTAACTGTTTTGCTCAGTAATTTTTTACTTCTGGTACCTATTGTAGTAATAAACCTTTAATAAATACCCAGTTAAAAAGAAAAAAAAAAGAAACAAAACAAAACAAAAAACCACAAAGACACCCCAAAACCCCAAACAAAACCAATCCCCCCAAAACCCAGCTAAAAACCTGCTTCTCAAGAATTGTGAATTCCTGTACCTATCCATTACTTCCGAGGCTGGAAGCCCCATGGAGGCAGTGGGCTCAGCCATTGGAAGGACTGGCAAAAAAAAAAAAGCAAAGCAAAAACAATTAAAAAAAGGTTTAGCTAAATAGAAATAAATTGCTCTTGGAAATAACCTACATTTTACTTTAGGAGAGGGTGGTTTGCTGTTGTTGTGGTTTTTGGTGAGTTTGTGGCTTTTTTTTTTAAAAAAAAACCAAAAAAAAAAAAAAAAGAAATTGTCTTCTACCCTCTGTTAGAGGTAACATTGATGTAGTGGAAACAGATGTAATGCATTTTCCTCACATGGTCCCTGGGATGAGACACTTCCATTACACATTTGCAGCTTTTTAACTAGTTTACTACCTTGCAAGCTCTCACACAAATCATTGTCTACTCCACTGCATATCTGAGATGTTTTCTTCTACTTATGGCCCAAACAAAGAATAGTAATGACCTAGGACTTCCATATCAACCATTTGTTAATTTTGTATAGTTCAGAAAACTCACCATTCTAGAGGAAAGGCAGGAGGAAAAGTAAGATAGGTACCCACAGGATACTTTATACCAAAAGCCTTGAGAGGAAAAGTGTTTCCAAGGAAAAGTAGCAAAACCTCCCTCATCTAAAATAGCCTATTAGGGTTCCCCCCCTCCCTTCTTCCTAGAGATGCTCTTTTAAAAAAAAAAATTTAAAAAAAATCCAGGCTGTAATATGGTCCAGATTATGCCGTATCTTCCCTCAGCTGTTGTCAATATTTTGTTAGAATAAATTCCTAGTAAGTTTCACAGTAGTTACAAAACATGAGAAAATTTGAATAAAAAGTGTATGATTTAAAAACCAAAAATAGCAAAAAGTTAATTTATCAAACCGTAATGATTGTCCAGCAGCCAAACATCAAATCAAGAACAAAGCAATCTAAGCAGAGATTTGCAAGTCTACTACAAATTGCCTTTCTATGCCTTTCATTCTCCCACTTTAAAAAAAAAAAAAAAAGAGAGAGAGAGAGAGAGAGAAAACAGTCTACGTCTCATTGCAACGCCACCTCAGTTCTTACAGAGAAACTCAAACACTAGACACTCTGAAAGCCTTATCTGGCTGCAAGTACATGAGTTACATGACCATAATGCCACTATCCCCAAACAGTTCACAGAGTCCAACAGTATTTTAAATCAGAAATGGACACAAGCCGAGTTAAGTGACAGGACTGTTTCCTGCCACAACACCAAACGTGCACTTTGCATACTATGGGCACGCATCCAGTAGCTGGGCCAGAATCTCCCCTCCAGGGAATCAGACTAAGATCTTTAATTACAGACTACTCATATATTGTTTCACAAGGTCTTAATCAGAAGACTCTGTAGCCTCACTGGAGTGTCATGGTGCTACTCTAACATAAATAAAAAATTATTTTAGTGAAAAGCCCTATATGACAGCATAAAAAGCCCAACTTCATAGTTTTTATTAAAAAAAAAAATCTAACTACTTAAAATAATTTTAGTCCCAACTCAGTAGAGTACAGGGAAAACATGAACTACTACTGCTAAAGAGACTTTGAGACTTTATTTGTACTTATGAAGTACTTTGAAGTGACAGGGATAGAAGCATTTTAGATATCAAAAATTCTAGGAAACGAAAGAAAAAAAAATGCTTTCACATAACATATGTAAATTAGATAGTTCCTAAACATATATTTTTGATACTGCATGAATGACAATTGTTCTTTAAAGGCACACCAAGTCTACATCAGTTATATGCTTACTCTTTACATCTTAAACCAACTCAATCATCTCCTGAAATTCAAACTAACCGGTCGTGAAAGATGGTTCAATTTATATCATATGAAGGAATCTGATAACTTTGCTACAAACAGTGCTACTCTAGCTGAAACCAAGATGTACATCCCTTTGAGAAAATATTTTTAATGCAATAAAAATAGTACACAGGCAAAAAAAAGTTTTACCTTGGAATGAACTTATTCATGATAGCATAAAAGCAGTTGTACAAATCACTGCGTGGCAAACGAAGGTGCACCAGAGGTTTGAGTAGATGTATCCAGCCAAGGCAAGAACTGTATTTAACATTGCGTGACTTACAATAAAAAGTAATAACAGACTCAATATCCAGAAGTAATACTGACTTCTCCTCTTCTGGCACGGACAACTGGTCTGAAATAGGCACAGCAATATAAACTGTATTAATGGCCTTTCAAAGAAATTGAATGACATTATTTCATAGCACAATTGCATCCATAGCGACTGCTTAGGAAAAAAAAAAGTAACAAAACTGACAAACAAAAAACTAGCAGCTTGGATTAAATGCATACAGAAAGACATTCAAAAAGGCATCAAAATACAAGTGATTTTACAACCCCAGTAGGATGAGGCATTTACATATCATTTTAATATCACAATAACAGGATGAAAGAAGTTTGGGTTTTCCAGGATCTGTATGAAACAAAGAGGTAGATTCTTCTAAGGCACAGAACACCCTTCTTTCTGTTCCTATTTGATGTGCTCAGCACATAACTTATGCTCAACTCTACAACAAATTCATCTGAATTTCAACACAGATCAACCCACAATGCATACCTCCAACTCCTCAAAAGCCCACTGACATTTATGAAAATCAGTAGTTTGAGATCAGCTAGGCTTACAGACTTAAATTTATTGACTAATAAATCACATTTTTAATCTCCACTTCAAAGTAATTTTCCTAATAATAGTTTAAATTTGGGGTTGCTAGCGTAACTATAAAAAGACAAATTATTTGTTTACTTGCAACTACACCTGGCTTTTAAATTCAATTTGGTACTGTTGCTAATCAGAAGATACACTAACCATGAACATATAATCTTTTCTATAATGTAGTACATTGTTTCAAATTCTTACAAATGTTGTAAGGTACTAAAAAGTAAAGATGTCCCCTACTTAATGACAGACTAATTCTGAATCCATAATTTATATTGTTGCATGCAGATGAAAACTGGCACAAAAAATTTGGTGCCAAACCACTTCTGTAATTAAGGTAGCAAGCTAAACACTTTTTAAACACTGCCATTACTGAGTTTGATACATACACAAAGCTTAGGTTTTCATTAGCTCCAAAGCATCTTTCTGCATAGACTCTTACTCACAAGGCTGACAACATTTCAGAAAAAGGACTGGCATCCACCTCACCTGAGGCACTGAATCTAAGACATATTGAAATCTGTCAACACCATATCCCAGATTATGACTTCCTCCATGTGATTAAATAACTACTTAGCTTACTTACGTTCAGTATAAAAGTATTTATTATACAGACTGTAGTGAAACCAGACTTTTGTGTAAGTTTACACAATTTTCAGTTTAATATTAAACACATCTTTAGATATTGTAATGAAAAAAATTTAGTATTAAATACACTTGTGAATCACATATTTTAGAAATAAATTTGTTTCATTCCACTTAGATTACATCAATTTTACTACAGCTAAGCTAATTTACAGTTCAAGAAGGAATAACCATGCTATGGCCCGGATGGGGGAAAGAGATGCCTACACACCACATCAATGCAGTGGCATGAAATTTCTAGCGAACATTTTTTCCCCCTCAATTACAAGAAGCCCATGAGTCTCATTACTGTTAATGAAAGTTTTCATTACTGAAGTCTTTAATACTTTCCCATCAAAGCCAGTCAATATTTGGCATTTCCTTTCCTCTACCTCTCAGGAAAATAAAGTAGTACCAAAAACTCAAATGCCGTCTGAAGATTTACTTTAAATTTGGACACTACTTGCTTTGCTAAAACATTGAAATAGAGAGATATAATCCAAACTAAAACTGAAATCTCTATATACCCTTCGTTCTGAACTAGTTTCACATTTATTAGTTTACTCAGTTTAATATTGTTACATATTAAAAAATATTTGCAATAAAGACAAAAGGAGAACTAACAGACATTAAAGTGCTTAATTTTATATGTTATGAATACTAATCGGGATGTTTTGGCATCTTCCAGAAAAGACACTGTGATTAATTGACACAGTGGAATTTTTTCTACCCCTTTCCTTTATAGGATAGAGAGAGAAGGAAAACAAGCCCTACTAGATTCCAACTCTAGAAGACATAGAACTGTATCTTAAAAGCAGCAGGCGTGTGTATATGCGTGCTTGCATGCAGTAACTCCATTCTCTGCCTTAACTTACAAATGTGTAAGAATAAATAAAGCATAACAGGATAGAAGATTCTTTTATTGATTCTTTTACTAGAGAGTGCCACCAGCTCGCACTGGAAATGGATGGCAGCAGAGGAAACAGCTGTGTAAGGTGTGATCAGGTGGACGACCTTGTTGGGCTGGTGGCAGAGGTAAGAAAAGAAGCAGACAGGCAAAGGAGCATCAGGGAGTCTGAGCAAGAGATAGACTGGTGGAGCCATGCTCTGACCTCCCTGAAACCTGGACAGGGACAGCCACCAGAAAACGCCCGGGATCAAAGGGATCCGATATCCTCCCGCCACCAGGATGTAGGCAGGGTCTTAAAGGGAAGCGGCGAGTGGAAACAAGTCCACAATCGGGGCAGCAAGCAAACCCTCTCCTTGCCCACTACGCCTCCCCAGATGCCTCTGCACAATAGGTGTGAGGCTCTAGCGGTGGAGTCGGTGGACGATGCAGGTGTTGATCCATCTACACCACAGGAGTTGCCAAGACCAGAAGGACCCACCCCCCCATATTACTACCACCTCCACAAGGAAGAAAAGATGGATCATGGTTGTAGAAGACTCTCTTCTGAAGGGAACAGAGGATCCAGTATGCCCAGCAGACCCTCCTCACAGCGAAGTCTGGTGCCTCCCAGGAGCCTGGGTGACAGATATCACCAGGAAGCTTCCTCGCCTGGCACAGCCCTCGGACTACTACCCGTTACTGCTCTTCCACGTGGGTGGGGACGAAGCAGGTCGAAAGCTTATGGGTAAGAATCAGACACCGAGGCAACAAAGGGAATCTTGTGGTTGGTGTCTACTACAGGCTGCCTGATCAAGGGGAGCCTACTGATGAAGCCTTCTTCCTCCAGTTCCAGGAGGCTTCGCGCTTGCAGGTTCTCATCTTGCTGGGGGACTTCAGCCACCCCGGTATCTGCTGGAAAAGTAACACGGCAAGGGCAATCCAGGAGACTCCTGGAATGCACTGAAGATAAATTCTTCAGCCAGGTAATAGACAGCCCTACCCAAGGGGATGCAACACTGGACCTGATGGTCACCAATGCAAATGAGCTCATCACTGACATCAAGACTGAAGGCAGCCTGGGCTGCAGTGATTATGCATTGGTGGAGTTCACACTCCTGAGGGATATGGGAAAGGCGAGGAGTATGGTCAGGACCCTAAGTTTTAGGAAAGCAAACTTCCAGCTCTTCAAGGAGTTAGTCAGGAGGACCCCCGGGAAATGGTCCTCAGGGACAGGGGAGCAGAATAGAGCTGGCAGGTCTTTAAGGATGCTTTCCATAGAGTGCAGGAGCTCTCAGTCCCCAGGTGTAAGAAGTCAGGCAAGGAAGGGAAGAGGCCAGCATGGCTGAGTCAAGACCTGCTGGTCAAACTAAAGAGCAAGGGGGAACTGTACAGGCAGGGACAGGTAACCTGGAAAGAGTATAGGGACATTGCCCAGTGGTGTAGGGATAGGGTCAGGAAGGTAAAGGCGCAGCTGGAGCTGAACTTGGCAAGGGACACCAAGATTAATAAGAAGGGCTTCTGTAGGTATGTCAGCCAGAAAAGGAAGGTCAAAAAAAGTCTACTCCCCATGATGAACAAGACTGGTAAACTGGTAACAACAGATAAGAAGGCTGGGATACTGAACAACTTTCTTGCCTTAGTCTTCACTAGCAACCTCTCTTTCCACACCTCTCGAGTGGATGTACCTCAAGGCAGGGACTGGGACAGCAAAGTCCCTCCCATTGTAGGAGAAGATCAGGTTCGAGACCACCTGAGGAACTTGAACATGTCTATTGGGCCCAATGAGATTCATCATAGTCCTGAGGGAATTGACTGATGTAGTTGCCAAGCCACTCTCCATGATATTTGAAAAGTCATGGCAGTCAGGTGAAACCCCTGGTAACTGGAAGAAGGGAAACACTGTGCCCATTTTTAAAAAGGGTAGGAAGGAGGACCCTGGGAACTAC